TTTTTATGCATCATTTCTTCGAAGTCAAGGAAGAAGTAGGCTAATTTAAACTTATTTTTATCCCCTTACCTAAGTATTATAGTGCCTTTCCTAATCCAAAAACAGTTTTGATAAGTAATCACGTAATTTTCTTTTAATAAGTGCTCTAAACAAGAAGAGATTATTAAAATATTAAAAATCTAGGAGATATATATTTTTCTTTAGCTGATCTAATCCATTGGCAATCTTTTTCATGTTGAAAAAAAAGAAGGGAAGAATATAGAGAAAAAATCATCAACGCTGCAAAAATCCTCTTCTATACATTAGTCAAATTCTATAGAAAAAATGTAAATTTTCCATAAGATCTATATAAATTCACATCTACTATTCATTCTATTATTGATCATAATCTATAAATCAATTGGAAACTAAATTTCAATAGCAAATTCTAGTTAAATATAATGATTTTTAATATGTTTTTCTTTTTCAAATACTATAATCAGACGTTATCATATTTATTCTATTACATTTGCTATACAGCAAACATAATAGTGCAAGTAAATGGTAAAATTGAGACCTAAATATGGAAAGATTCAAGGATGTTGCTATACTTAAATTTATTAGCAAAATCACTTTTACAAGGTTAAATTTCATTATTTTTATTTGGATTAACTAACTAATTTCATTGCGCATATTTTCGGTTTACATTTATTCTATCTTTCTTTCCTGTATAGATATTTACTGGTAATATAGTTTACATATGAAATAACATTTTCACCATCTATATTTACATGTAATATACTTGTATTTATATAATTCTCCCTAAATGAAAAAAGTAATAGCAAATAAAACACTGTGTTCTATTAAAAGGCGTATATTAAAATAAGATACAAGAACCTTAATAGACGTCTGGAGAAACTTAATAAAAATGATAAATAACTAAACTCTACAAAGAGAGCCACTTTTATTTCTACTCTCTTTTACGTTGTTGGTATGTCATATTAAAAAGACGTGTCTTTTATGCAATCCGTGACAGCTCAGGCTCTTGCTGCTTTTTTTCTTCCAACTAGAAAATTAGCTTAATTTCGTAATTCGAATCAATACTTGACGTTTTTAACTTTTAGTCTATTATCTTAATTCTGAAATTTTTTTTCTTTTTAACTACTGATAAAAGTGTACTTTCAGCATTAAAAAGGATGGGAGAGGGGAGATATCTTATTTATTTTTTGCATTTTCTTTGAGAAAAGGGGGAACTTATCTAATGGATGAGAATAATTGAGATAGTAAAAATGTTTTTTTTTTAAATGGAGAAGCGATTAAGTAGAATACATACGGTGGAGAGAAACGTTGTATATCTATTTTATAAACGGAAAGAGGAGATTGGAAAAGGAGAACTGAGCAGAAGGAATGACACAGAGAGGAAACGATATAAAGAGAAAGATAGAAGGAGTGAGTGTAAGAGTGAGAGACAGACAGATAGAGAGAGAGAGAGAGAGAAATAGAGATAGGAATAAAGCTAAAAGCTACTCTGTTATATTTGTTTTTTCTTATATAAACTTGCATAAGGAATAATTATTTATTCGAATCGCCGTAAAACTAGACATATTAACGCCAATTGCTTCGTGCAGAGAAAATTTACACACTATTTGTTCTCACTTATTCATTATTTAAAACGCTATAGGAAATCTGTGCACAGCTTTAACATCTAATTTAATGTTAACTAGAATCGTTCATCACGAAAAATGACTTTAGTAAATTTACATTAGTTGCTGCCGTCAAAAACGCATATAGAAATGTATATACGACGTATGTAAATGGGTTCTGTACTTATTTGTTATCGTCTGAAGGCGTGTAATTAGTAGAAAATTGTACAAATACAACCTTCTATTCCTGACTTACAGCCGCTTCTTGACGTCATTATGACATACGAGGAATATTTTCAGTGAGTGGCCATAAAACTACTTGACGATCTCTAATTTTTTTATTAGAAATAGCAGATGGTTATGGTTGTTAAACTGTCTTGCAAAATTCTCTCTATGTTAGCTTTTTGAAAGCAACAGAATCAAATACTAACGCCTGTTGGGTGTTTTCTAGTCTTAAGGATTTATAGCAAGTGTGCAGAAAAGAGAAAAAGTTTGAAAGCCTTTCATGCCGCTGGTCTTGGAAGAAAATGACATGCGATAATCAGACTAAGCATCCCTTTCATCCTACGCGATATTATGTCCGGGAAAGAGGTAAAAAGTAACGTCTGTTTCGCACAAAAAGAAAGTTAATGACGTATCAATCATACGATACCCGCAAATAATTCGATTCCATATACGATAAGAAGTGTAAGTCGTTGAACTAGGCCTACAATTGGTGCTTGACGCGATATGGAGAGGAAGCAAACAACTCTTGCTGGATGTGGTTTTGGTGCTTGTGCACGACATCTTGAAAAGAAATATTCATATGATATGATCGCAAAACACACGCATATATGTATTAAAATATATATATATATATATATATATATATATATGGATATAGTATGTCAGTACAACTGCAAACGGCATTAATACAATTTGTAAGAATAGTATATTTGTAGCAGTTAAGTATTTACAGTACAGTGTATGCTCTAGTAACACTAATAATGTTGTATACATATATATACAGTATATAGTCTATATGTTACACATTAAAATACAAGAGTATACAATAATCTGCCTATTTCAAACAAGTTTACATTTGTTTGTTGTTTATATCATAAAAAAACCACCATACAAATATATTACCTTTGAAATATAGTTAGTATATATATGAAACAAAAAGATATATCCGAAAAGTTATATAATAGAAGACATTATTCATTGTATTACAACAATACGGTGCTTTATATTGTCATGTATAACGTGCGACATACCTGTATATGTATTTTTAATTGCTTATATTGTCTATATTTACTTATTTATAGTCTGGAATACTCTGTGAATATATTAAGATATTTAAGTAGAAATTATGCAAATTTATACAATCTAGGCCGATAAAGGAGTCAATATTTGAAAGCACTGGCATGAATGATTATTTATCGCCACCCTCACCCTTCGCATCTCCGTCTATTGATTAACAGTATATAAAGTTACCGAGTTTTAATGGCCGGATTTATAATAGATTCACATAAATGTGCGCCAGTGAAATAATTAGGTCAGTTGGCGTTAATTATAGTGCTTAGTGAAATTACTTCTTTCTATATAAAAATTTTAAAATGGAAAAGAAGGGAAGCCGAGTCTATATTTTTTTTTAGAGCTAGATAAAATTCGCGGAATCCTCGCTTACGTGGGATTAAATGGAAAGAAGGGAAGGTTGTGGACAGGCAAAATGCTTCAATCCTCCTATATATCAATCTATACTCTTCAATTACCCGAATAAACGCCGGCGCTCGTTCGGAGATTAAGTAATCCGATATTCATACGCAATTGGTTCGTTCTAACTAAAAAAAAAAAGAAAGG